TAAAGTGTTTTCTTGTGTTTGAAAAGTTTATTATAAAGAGTCTAAAACCCATTTTCTGTCTTTAACGCTCTAACAAAATGTCCTCAGTAAAATAATTCTATATTAATACTAAAACTAAACATAACAAAATGCTGCCAAAGCCTTTAGGGATTATATGACTTTTATATTATTTTCCTCCAGAGCAGCAAAGTGTGTAACAGTCTAGTATGAGGCGTCCTAACTGAGCGTGTGCTGCCGTCCTGCAGCTACCTGGTGGGCGACGAGCTCTGGGTGGTGATGGAGTACCTGGCCGGAGGCTCGCTGACGGACGTCGTCACGGAAACCTGCATGGATGAAGCTCAGATAGCCGCCGTGTGCAGAGAGGTGAGAACAAACACCTGCTGTTCATAGTGTGTCTGGAGCTGCTGAAGGTCAGTTCTGGATCCATCAGGAAGTAACGGGACGTTTCAGAAACACAGACTTTAGTCTTTGAGCTGCTGGTTCAGGATCAGATCCTCAGTTTGTTGTTTAGAATTAGAATCTTGTTTGTGTCCAAGTGAAATGAACAGGTATGTGTTTTGTTGCAGCTTTATTTTTTATTACTTTCAGATATAAACTCCTGTGTTTCTCTCTCAGTGTCTGCAGGCGCTGGAGTTCCTCCACTCGAACCAGGTCATCCACCGAGACATCAAGAGCGACAACATCCTGCTGGGCATGGACGGATCCGTCAAGCTCAGTCAGTTAAACCACTTTGCTCATCAGTCGGTCACTCAGTGTTGATCAAACCTCTTTACTCTGGAGCTGCAGCAGCATTTTTAACATGAAACTGAATCTGTTGTCTGTTTAGAATCTATTACGGATTATCGGTGGATAGTAAAGCTTTTATTTTGTTAACTTGTAGTTGATGTATGAACCGTCATCTGGATTATTTTTATCTGTTGGATGGACAGTTTGAGCTCTCAGGTCACTGTTCGTAAATCACTGATCTACAGTTTTGTTTTCTGGAAGTTTCATCCAATCACCTAAACTTGAACCTGCAGTGAAGCGTTTGTCGCCCCCTTCTGGCAGCGAGAGTAATTACACAAACAGCAGTGAGGCACAGTTTGCCTCCAGTGTTTGCTGCTTTCATTTATAGACTGTAATTCTTCTAAATGCAGAGTTTCTTTATTACCTGGAGCATCTTTGTAGTTTTTTCATGCTGCACGACATAAATCACGTCTCTGAGGCTCCAGTGAAGTAAAAACAACAGAAACACATTTAAAACTCTGTTCTACTGCAAAGCACTGAGTGAACCTGTTTCTACTTGAATTTGATGCTTGATTTTTTCCAATAATGTGCAGAAAAAGTGCACAAAACTTCTCCTACACATCAGAGTTTCATAGATTGATGCTTTATTGATCCAGAGAGAAGTTTGAGCTTTCAGTAGCTTAAAAATAGAGATAAATAAAAACTAAGCAGACAGAATGCAGGTTAAGAAGGACAAAAAGATAGAATTATGGCGGTGCAAATCCAGCAGAGAGGTGGTATCGTGCAAAACTTTAACGCTGTGCAGAAACACTAGTGTAAATTTTCTGAACGTGTCGGAGTGTGAGTTTACAAAATTCAACATTTTAAGACGCTGTTGAGGCCAAAACTTGTTGTTGTCTCAGTTTTCTATTAAATTTTGCTGGTTCTGAAGCCCGTCCAATACCAGCTCCAACCCAAACCTCCTCATCATGTCCGGATGTCGCTGACCGATGCTGATTATTTTACTGACCGTGTTCCTCTTCCTGCAGCCGACTTCGGGTTCTGCGCACAGATCACTCCGGAGCAGAGCAAACGCAGCACCATGGTCGGGACTCCGTACTGGATGGCTCCGGAGGTGGTGACCCGCAAAGCCTACGGGCCCAAAGTGGACATCTGGTCTCTGGGCATCATGGCCATCGAGATGGTGGAGGGAGAACCGCCGTACCTGAACGAAAACCCGCTCAGGGTGAGGAGCTCTAGACACACACTGAGTACTGACACAAAGACAAGATGAACCTTTATTGATCCCATAGAGACGGACGGAGACGAAAAATAAAACAAAATGTACCAAAACACAGACGTAGGTACTGCTTCCTCCATATGTGGGTAATCAGATTATATTACTTCCTCTGAATACTGCACGCATGAAAGAATCCGTTCTGACACTCGAACCCTGGTGCTGAATGAAAACTGGACCAGTCTGGTTCCAGGTCCACTCTTATGCAGACTATTGTGGTCTCAAAGTGGAACAAACATCATATTTCGTGGCAGCAGATCAGAGATTTGAGCACATAGATGTTGTCAGTTAATTAGAATGTGAGCCGCCTCAGTGAGCATCCTGCACGCTGGTCGTCATCACATCCACTGATCAGCTCAAGAAGTTCTGCTGCTCATTAAATTCCAGATGAACGAGAGTCAGTTGAGTTTTTCTGCCACAGAAAGAGCTTCAGCCTGAGTCATGAGTCGAGCTGCCAGGGATTACTGCTGTAACACAGTCTCATAACGAGGAGCTTAAAAAGACAAAAAACCCACCGTGAAATCTGGAGGAAGTCAGTGAAGAGGCTGACAGCAGAGAGGAGGAGAGACTGACTCACCGACCAGACAACTGGTGGATTACAGGCTTTCACGTCTCGAGAAGACAAAGAAGGAAACAGACGTCTGAAGTCAGTCGTCGGTCGATCGGCTCTTATTCCATCAGATTCTCATTAGTTGTCATGTTAATGCTGAACTGTATTCATGACCAGTAAAGGCTGCTGCAGGAGTTAGAGGTCATTACTGCTTTATATTTTAGGCTGTATAAAGTTAAAAGATCATGTTTCCTAAAGTCAGGTTACTTGAGTCTCTTGGATTTTAACAGTTAATCCAACACTAGTCAACTCTTAAATAATCTGGAACTAACTGGATTTGATTTTCATCAGTTAACTGAGTAAATGTGAAACTAAAAAACTTATCAGAGGTTTCTAACATATAGGAACGTATGAATATCTGTGGCACACACAAGTTTCTTTCTTTTCTAAGCTCAGAAGAAACAGCTTTCATCCTTTACACGTGTTCTCTCCGTCTTTAGACCCGCCTCAGACAATAGTACTAATTATACTACTACTATGAATAATAATAATGATAACTTTATTTACAGAGCAACTTTTTAAAAAACTGAGTTAAAAAGGTGTTTTACAGAAAAAAAAAAAAGAAAAAAGATGTTAGAACAGCAGAAGGCCGAAGAGAAAGAAAAAACCTGAGAAGCAAAAGTGTAAAAATGAAATAATATATATATAAAATATATCAGTACAACAAACATCAGTGGATATAAATAAAACAAGAACAGCACAAAAAAAATCTCATATCAAGCGAAAGAGAAAGAAGAAGTAGAAATAAAGGAAAATTAAAAAGTTAAAACCATAGTCCAAGGGTTAAAATAATAATAATAATAATAATAATAATGATAACTTTATTTACAGAGCAACTTTTTAAAAAACTGAGTTTAAAAGGTGTTTTACAGAAAGAAAGAAAAAAAAGAAAAAAGATGTTTGAACAGCAGAAGGCCGAAGAGAAAAAAAAAAAAACCTGAGAAGCAAAAGTGTAAAAATGAAATTGTATATATATAAAATATATCAGTACAACAAACCAGATATCAGTGGATATAAATAAAATAATAACAGCACAAAAAAATCTCATATCAAACGAAGGAGAAAGAAGAAATAGAAAAAAGGAAAATTAAAAAATTAAAACCATAGTCCAAGGGTTAAAATAATAATAATAATAATAATAATAATAATAGGAAATAAATAATTAAAACAGAGTAAAAATGAATAAAGTAGACGACATCACATGATAGCAAGTTTAAAAAAAATTCAAGAATTGATTTTAAAGACGATTCTGCAGCCGGATGTCTTCAGGTCTGTCGTTCTAAAGCCGAGGGGTCCTCAAGGCAGGAAGTCGGCCACCTTTAGATCTAAACCTTCAGTCAGAAGGACCAACCTGAGCAGGTTAAAGTCACATCACGCAGATTAAACAAGATGAAACTCAGAATAAGGAGGCCGAGAGTTTAACGAGACGGTGAATTAAACAGCTCAGGTTCATCGATGACAACAGGAGACGAGGTGAAGACTCACTTCTGTGACAGACAATACTTCAAATTGTCTTTATTATACCTTTAATGCATCTTTATTTTTAGACTTATTGTACTTTTGTGTTATTAAGACCTCATTTGAATCCAGCTGCTGTGACGTGTACATTTACCTGATGAAGGATCAATAAAGTTGAACTTATCTCATATCATCTTACAGATCAGGACTGTGTGTCGTATATAGATGCTATCTTTGGAACCAGGTGTTAAAAGGCTCATCTGTCTGATAATCAGCTTCTTTTTCTCCATATTCAGGTCTCTGTATTAAACGCTGCAGTAGACGTCCTCTTTACGTTCAGTTGTCAGACGGTTGTTCTGTAAAGCTCCACTGGGTGGCGCCACAGCTCAGCACCTTCCACCTGCACAGCCTCTGAGCAGGTGTTTCTCTGCAGACTAGCATGTTGCTAACGTGTTTGTTTGTTTGTTTGTGTTGTTGTAGGCGCTGTATCTCATAGCAACCAACGGGACGCCGGAGCTGCAGAACCCAGAAAAGCTGTCGACGATATTCAGAGACTTCCTGAACCGCTGCCTGGAGATGGACGTGGAGAAGAGAGGCTCGGCCAAAGAGCTGCTGCAGGTAGACACAGAAAGAGCAGGCGGAGAAAATAAAAACAAAAACACAAGATTAGAAGTAAATGAGTGTGTCTGAGGTGCAGAAATGTGCACATGAATCCTCTGACAGTGTCCAGTTCCTTTGTTTTATATCATTTCAATCTTTCACAAACTCAGACTCTACAGCCGTCTGCGAGGGTTTAATGTTCAGACGAAACCTGTCCACAGACGGACCTTTAAATACTGACGAAGCACTGACAGACGTATTTGTGGTAGTTTTGGTGCCACGTTTTTCCTCGATGACTCACACAGAGACCAGAGAGGTGAAAACAAAACGAGCTTCACTTGTAAAAAAGTGCAATAAAAAGAGAAGAAAGCGTCATAGCTCCCTGAAAAATAGCATCAAATGGGAGCGCTCAGGTGAATTACTCTGAGTCTGAGCTGAGGTGTGGCGTTTAGTGAGAGCTGCTGGTGTCTTTAATCCACATCTGGGACACCTGAGTGCTGCTGAGTCCTTCAGGGTCCACACATGACAACCAGCTGCAGCGTTTCTCTCAGTTCCTCGTCCAGGCAGACAGTCAGCGGCGTGGGTGAGGAGACGAGGTGGAGGTGGAGGTGGAGGTGGAGGAGTTGTGTAACCGCCGGCTGACTCAGAGCTCAGAGGTGAAACCAGCTTTTCTGCTGTTCCCCTGAAACAACTCATTCAGCTCCAGAGACCT